CTTCACCTGTCCATTGTGTTACAGGCCGCCATTTACCCCAAACCGTATCCACCCCTCAGCACGGCAACACTTCCCTTTTTTTTATCATTGACGTCCTTTCATTGAGTCACCCCCGGCGCGTCTAGGGCTTTAATTCTACGAAGAAAAAAGAATCCCCACCGTGGTGAGTGATTTGACTGGTGATTGAAAATGCAGCTGAAGGACCTGGAGACGCAGCCCGGCGGGGTGGATTTGATGCCGGGCGTTCGACAAGGCGAGCGGCGGGCGCACACCGCGATTGCGAGGGAGAGGCCGCAGCGCGGTCTGCTTCATCATCTCATCCTCGGCCCAGGTGGGGCAGCGACGATGGCAGGCGCCTGCGAGATCCTTCTTTTTCATCCTTTTGATACCATAGCGAAGCGGCTGATGTCGTACCGCCACCACGTTGTCGAGCCTGGATCGATCCGACATACAATGCATAATGTCAATCACGTGGTGTTTGGCGGTCTGGAGGATAAGGCGCGCGCGGACCCCGCTTTTCTGATCACGCCATGGAGGCGAATGAAGTTTCTCTACCCAGGCAGCACTTACGCGGTCTTATATAAGATTTTTCAGCGCGTGATTAAGTTTGCCGGACAGCCTTTTATGCGAGACTTTCTGTACAACCACTACAGCTTTTCCTTTTTCAAAGGTGATCCGACGACGAATAAAGGGTACGTTCGGGATGGGAAAGGTCTCATGATGCTGGAGGCGACGGCAGGGTGCTTTGTAGGTATTTTCGAGATCGTACTCCTTCCTTTTGATCGAATGAAGGTTTTAAATCAAACTAACATATCCACGCTCCAAGGCCGAGGTATTTTTTCCGTTATTCGTCGTGAAGGCCTGAAAAAGTTATATGTGGGTACGTCCACAACGGTGGTGCGGAACGCGACCGGTTCTTTTCTTCTTTTTGGTTGTACCGCCTTTGCAAAGGAACACGTCTTTAAATTGAGCGATTATCGAGAGGCAACGGTAATGCAGAACATCGCATCATCAACTTTCGGTGGGTGTGTGGGTGTTTTGTTTACTTCTCCAATAGACGTGATAAAAACTCGACAACAGAGCCAGAGGCTTAATGATTCGTTATCAGGGTTACAGATTCTGAGAAAAACACTGCATGAAGAGGGCATATCGGCTTTATACAAAGGTATCGCTCCAAAGATTATAACGTCTGCTCCTCGTCTGGTGTTTTCTTATACCATGACGGAGTACCTTACCAAACTTTTGCGCAGAAATTCGTTCTTCAAAAATAATCATTAAATGCAAAGAAGATATACACAGACATGGTTTGTCCTTTCGAAAAAGCGTACTGACGTGATAATGGTGGAAAATCATATCGATAGAAGTAATCGAAGTTGAATCAGAGTCATCAGGAAGGTAGATGCTTTGGTTTCAGCAAAAGAATAATTTTTACATGTAATTGTAAATATATCCATATATAGTATATGTACCTTTATGCATTTACAGTTGCATTTTGAGGCTGATGAAACATTTAAGCACTTCAGAGTCAGTCATTGATTAAGATTGTTTGGTAGTCCATCTTTATAGATAGATACCTTTCTACTTAGTAAGTACCAATTCGTCTTCGTCGTTGGTAATCTCTACGCATGTTCTGTTAGGATCATTCCGCTGAAGTTATCGACTACCACTTTTGATTTTAAACACGCCAATAATTTATAAGGGATACACTGAGGTGTTGCGTGGTGAAGAATAATTCATAGAAATGTAAGGGTCTAACAACTATACCGGGTGGGTCTACGACTATAAAGTCTTAAGGCTTACTCAAGTTCATGTAGCATAAGATTTACAGCTTGAGGCGATCACCGTGTTGGTATTACAGCTTTCCTTAGTTCTCATTGTTATTATCATTGCCGTAGCATGGAAGAATTGGATCATATCAATATTATTGTAAGGGAAAATTTTTAGTTTAATTATTTTGTATCTTTCATCATGAAGATTCTCGGTGGAATGATTCACTTCCTGTAATGATAATTTTTTTCCTACTTCACAAAGAACGCTAGTTATATCACGTTTAATTGTGATAACGACTAGTATTTTCTATTACCTTACTCTTACTTAAATGAGAACATATTATGACAAGAGTTATCTTGCTATTATATTAATTATATTTATCCTTTGATAATATATTTTATCACATTTATCGTTTTTTGTATTAATTAAAGTTTGAATTTGTGTAATGCTTTTCTGAAAAGAGGGTTGAGATAAAGGAGCCCATTACTCCAGTCACGCCAATGCGGATTTAAAATGTCTGAATACGAAAGAAACCTCTCTAATAAATGAGTGCACATTTCGTCTAATGCTACTAATGCCATGATATTTTAACACCCATCCATTTCATCAATTAGTAAAGTGAAGCCCTACGACATATTCAACTCGGTATTGTATTTTATTGGGGTTTATTGATACATCTATTGTAGGACTAAAGGCCAAT